TGATTCGTTCATAAACGTCTATGTTTCACAAGTTTGGAGAGCACAGTACAGTACAGACTGGGCACAGTAGAGTAAGGTAGAGTAAAGAAAAAAGTTGAGCAGAGTATAGTTCAGTAAAGTACACAGTAGAGCACACTAGAGTTGAGTATATCAACGTACTGTATTCTACTGTACTGTACTCTGCTTTACTGAACTCTTACTGTAGTTCAATAACCAAAATAGATTTTTTCAAAGTCAATATGTCATGTCATAGATAACACCCGATTCTTTCTGCAGACATTCTTTGAACGTTTGGAAAACGTGGTCACATAAAAAAACGTAGGGAGATTTTACCGAAATTCTGTTACCAGACTTTGCATCTGCACAGTTCTTCCAGTAAATGTATTTTTGTAAAATGTTCTGTGTAAATTGTTAATAAAAGTAGTCCTTGTGCATAGAGTTGTATGGTTTGTTAAACTTTGAAATCAATGGTTTTTGTTTGGCATACATACAAAAATCTGAGTCTCATCACAATTCCGTTATCGTAGGATTGCCCAGCTGCTCTCAGAGACAAGACTGATGATGATACTCCTGCTACTTTTAACTAAACTTTACGCCATTGTCACGATTGTCGTATTGAATAGACCAAGGCGCAGCGTGATGAACGAACATGGTTAACTTTATTATCTTTAGTGATAATAGACACCAATAAACAAAACAAGAAACGACTCGTGAAGTCCACGGTAACAATGACCAACACGGAACAAAAACCCACAAACACAAAGGGAAAACAGACAGTATAAATATGGCTCCCAATCAGAGACAACCAACGACAGCTGACACTCGTTGCCTCTGATTGGGAGTCACTCTAGCCAACATAGAAATAAACACAACAGAATGAACACACCCTGGCTCAACATATAGAGTCCCAGAGCCAGGGTGTGACAGTACCCCCCCCCCTAAAGGCGCGGACTGCGACCGCGCCTCAACTTGAACAAAACAGGGGAGGGCTGGGTGGGCATACCTCCTCGGCGGCGGTTCTGGCTCCGGCCTTGCCACCCACCCTCCAATAAACCCCCCATAGCGCCCCTGGTCCAGTCTGGCCCCGCTGGCTGGAGCTGAACTGGACTTAGCAGGAGCGGTTAGCTTCAGCTCCATAGTGGAGCAGTTGACCGGTACCTTACCAGGCACCGGTGACCCAGGCACGGGTTGTGCTGGACTGACGACGCGCACCCCTGGCTTGGTACGTGGAGGAGGAACGGGCCTTACCAGGCTGATGACGCGCACCCCTGGCTTGGTGCGTGGAGGAGGAACGGGCCGGACCAGGCTGACGACTCGCACCCCTGGCTTGGTGCGAGTGGCAGGAACAGGCCGGGCCGGGCTGGCGACACGCACCGTAGACTTGGTGCGAGTGGCAGGAACAGGCCGGGCCGGGCTGACGATGCGCACCATAGGCTTGGTGCGTGGAGCAGGGACAGGCCGGGCCGGGCTGGCGACGCGCACCGTAGACTTGGTGCGAGTGGCAGGAACAGGCCGGGCCGGGCTGACGATGCGCACCATAGGCTTGGTGCGTGGAGCAGGGACAGGCCGGACCGGGCTGGCGACGCACACCGTAGGCTTGGTGCGTGGAGCAGGGACAGGCCGGACTGGGCTGACGACGCACACCGTAGGCTTGGTGCGTGGAGCAGGGACAGGCCGGACTGGGCTGGCGACGCACACCATAGGCTTGGTGCGTGGAGCAGGGACAGGCCGGACTGGGCTGGCGACGCACACCGTAGGCTTGGTGCGTGGAGCAGGGACAGGCCGAACCGGGCTGTGGAGACGGATAGGAGACCTGGAGTGAAGAGCGGCCACAACCCGTCCTGGCTGAATGCCTACCCTCACACACTCTGTGTGAGGCATCCGCACATGACGTACAGGGCGGTGTACCCGTAACCTGGTGGCCTTCTGAATCCGCCCCTTATCTGCCTCCGTCAGCCCCGTCGTCCATGCCGTGTGCCCCCCCCTAAAAATTTTCTGGGGTTGCCTCTCGCCTGTCCGACGTTGACCCGTTTGGCGCCGCTGCTCCTCTCTACGGCGCGCCTCCACCGTCTCTTCCCACGGACGCCGATCCATCCCGGCCTGTATCTCCTTCCAAGTCCAGGATCCTTTCCCGTCCAATATCTCCTCCCATGTCCAGGCTGCCTGCTCCTGGACACGCTGCTTGGTCCTTGTTTGGTGAGTTTTTCTGTCACGATCGTCGTATTGAATAGACCAAGGCGCAGCGTGATGAACGAACATGGTTAACTTTATTATCTTTAGTGATAATAGACACCAATAAACAAAACAAGAAACGACTCGTGAAGTCCACGGTAACAATGACCAACACGGAACAAAAACCCACAAACACAAAGGGAAAACAGACAGTATAAATATGGCTCCCAATCAGAGACAACCAACGACAGCTGACACTCGTTGCCTCTGATTGGGAGTCACTCTAGCCAACATAGAAATAAACACAACAGATTGAACACACCCTGGCTCAACATATAGAGTCCCAGAGCCAGGGTGTGACAGCCATGCTCTGTATTTCAGAAATGTTACTGAAAATGGTATGGATGCCCACACACACCCATACAAACTCTTCCTTTTTCTCTTATGTAGAGAATTCCCAGTCGGAGCGCTCTGAAGATGTTAGCTGACATGGGCTAATTGAGTGACTGTCTGTGACTGACATATCAAGAGGAAAACTGCTGATGCAATACTACATTTCTAAATTGCACATTGTGTATTCTACTATCCTAACTAACAGTTAGTTCAGAGCCCGACTGACTTCTTAATAAATACAAAAATAATAATAATAATAAATAATAGTAATAATAATAATACAAATTGGTTGGGGGCCCTTGCGCCCGCGGTGCCCAAAGTGGTCGCGTATTGTTTTATATATACTTATTTTTTGTAAGATTTTATTTATAGATTTTTTCCAAACAATACAAACAACACATACAAAAGACAACATACAGACACAGACAAACATCAACGACATCACACCTGCTCTCACCCCTATCTCCAAATCCTGCACTACTCTCCGCCACGTCTTTAAATTTCACAATTTTTTTCCTCTCCATTGCCCACACTCTTTCAATATTTAGATAATGAAGCATATGATTTTTTCATTGTCTCTCTCTCTCTCTCTCTCTCTCTCTCTCTCTCTCTCTCTCTCTCTCTCTCTCTCTCTCTCTCTCTCTCTCTCTCTCTCTCTCTCTCTCTCTCTCTCTCTCTCTCTCTCTCTCTCTCTCTCTCTCTCTCTCTGCAGATGGTGGTGTTGGAGAGACAGGTGTTTGACTTCCTGGGGTACCAGTGGGTGCCCATCCTGGCCAACTTCTTCCACATCATCCTTGTCATCCTCGGCCTCTTCGGCACTATACAGTACCGACCACGCTACATTGTAGGGGTGAGTACAAACACACACACAGACGCACACATGTACACACACACACGTGTCAGCCTAAATTGTATTGAACGTGTGATTTGAATGTAATTTGTTATTTTTCCATTTATCCAAACTCCCAAGATCCCTTGCCCTCTCCCCGAACACATTGTTTGTCGTCTTAATCTTTTTAATCCATCAGTAATTACATTTAATTAATGACTCAACTTCCATTCATTTCACACTCAAACAGAGTGTACCCTAGGGCCCACCTCAGCATGAATCCAGCAGGATTTAGGATTTGGTTAAATCTGAGGGGTTAGTGGTGGGTGGGAGTGGGGGAAAGGGGGGTTAGAGCACTTCTTGATTAGTTGAATTAGGTGTGTTAGTACTGGGCAAGAACAAAAGCCTGGCCATCTTGTAGCGCTCCAGAACCAGGAATTAAAAACCTAATGGAATGTCCTAAAATGTTCAAGATTCAAGAACAAACACTAAAATGTTCAAAATTGAAGCACACTAGAAGTTTATAGATTGAAGAATACTAGAATGTTCTAGATTGAAGAACACTAGAATGTTCTAGATTGAAGAACAGTAAAAGTATCTAGCATAGCTCCTAGACAGGGTATGAATATTTGAAGTGTTATTCCACTCTGGTGTCGTTTGGAGTTAGAAGATCATTACAGGAAGTGCATATGTCTCTTTTATTCAATTAACACAGGATGGATGAAGCTAAGTAATGATAAAAGATTCACAAATACATAAAAAATGTATTAGCAATGTTCAGTGGGTGTTAATGTGGAAAGGAAATCAAAGGGCGAGGGAGAGAGGAAAGAGAGCGATTGGAAGGAATGGGTGAGGGGTAGGAAGGAGGAGAATAACCAAAGGCAAAAGCGGATAGAAGCATGAGAAGGAATAAGGAAACAATAGTGTCAGCTTTCTTGGGAAAAAGGAGGGAGAGCGAAACGCGAAGGGAGAGGAGTGGAGTGGAGAGAGTAACCAAAGGCAAGAGCGGATAGAGGGAAGAATACTTGTGTGTCAGCTTTCTTGGAAAAAGTATGGAAGGGGTTTCGTGACTCAATATGTTACGTCTTTAGGTAAGGATAATACTGTCTCAATCAGCATTGACATGTTCACTAATCAGGGATGTATGACACAGGATGAATCACTGTTCAAATGGTGAAAAACACCTCCAATGGAAGAAGTTCAGCCTTGAGTGGAAGCTTGGTTAGCAACTTCCTGTCAGAAAGATCATATTGATGGATGATAATGGATTGGATTTGTGTATCACTTTTCCAAAGTGCTCAAAGTGTCTGTAAGCAGGCAAACTGAAGTTTGTTGTTTGTAAAATAGACCCTTTGTAAACATTACTAATTGAATTCCATCCTAAGACCTGTTTACGCCCCTCCATTAAACCCTCAGCTGGTTTAAAAAACAACTCCTTTAAGTCTCAATGGACTTACAGCAGCTTTGGCATGTGGGCCAGAGCGGGTAGTACACATAAATAAAGAAACAGTCTAGTGCAGTGTAGAGTGTGTCCCATAACACCATTCACACATAGAGATCTTTCATTTCATTTCTGACTTATTTTAATGTATGATGTGTTTTTTGAATGGTTTGTGTGTGTGCGTGCGTGTGTGTGTGTGTGTGTCCTATACAGTACACAGTGTGGACAGCTCTCTGGGTGGCCTGGAATGTCTTCATCATCTGTTTCTACCTGGATGTGGGAGGCTTGACCAAGGTAGGCCCTATTCTCTCTGACTCATAGGTCAACTACATGGCAACTACAGAGCAACTGTCCTCCATCTTGGAGCTCCCATGACTTGTGTATATCTTCCACCATTTAAGATACAGTGTGTCTCTCGGTCTGTCGATATGTCCATGTGTTCTCTCCTTGGTGCTTGAGAGACATTGAATAAAACATGTGGTCATCCTAAGGAGGTGGGAACCGTATTCCAAGACCTTCAGTGTCAGGGTTCAGAGAGTAGAGGGCTCCCCAGGAGGATGCCCCGCTGACCCCCTGCCACAAGCACACACACACCGCACATACTTACCCATCCCGCACGCACAGACACACGCACACACCGCACATACTTACCCATTCCACACGCACGGATACACTTACAGACACACACACACCTCACCTACCAACCCATCCCACCCACCCCTCATTCTTGTCACTGTTCGAACAGCATCTGCTGACAGGTCTTCGCTCTATGGAGTCTCTGTTCTACACGCACACACTCACCACAGTGTAGCCCCTGACGGACTGCCAGACACACACACACACCCTGACAGGCCTCCTGAGTCTCTGTTTCCGTGCCGACCGAGAGTGTTACGTTTGGGATTATGATAATTTCCCTTCTCTTCTCCCAGTGTGAGGAGTTTGATCTGAGTGCTGAAACTGTTCTCATCTGAACTGTGTGTGTGTGTGTGTGTGTGTGTGTGTGTGTGTGTGTGTGTGTGTGTGTGTGTGTGTGTGTGTGTGTGTGTGTGTGTGTGTGAGAGAGAGAGAGAGAAAGAAAGAAAGAGACAGAGAAAAAGAAAGAAAAATGAAGGGAGCTAGAGATGGGAAGGTAGGCTGTAGTTAACCCCTCCTTATGCTTTTAGGGAGCTATCATAAGTGCCATAGGTTAGACTGACACTAGTCAGGTGTACTGTATATGTCCTAGTTCTCATGACATTGGCTTAACCCTGGGTGTCCTATCTGTCAGATGTGGAGTCACAGTCAGGCTATGTGAGGTTAAATTAGCTCCTCATCCAATTAGAGGACTAACACACAACTGGACAGTCTGTGCCTGAATGGACAGTCTGTGCCTGTGTGCATGTGTGTGTAAGTGTGTGTAGGCTTTGTCTGGTATACACAAATATTTAGCCATTTAGAATCTTCGATTTTATTCTGCCAAAGCTCACACTGCTAAGAAGAGATAATGACATTTTAATAAAACATGACGGAAGATGTGAAAGAGTGGTTTTCCTTTGTATACTTCGGTCAACTTCACTATATAGAGAGTTCACACAAGCCCACGCACACAGTATGACTGCACTTAGCCCACTCCAGTCTGGTTTCCCCAAATCTCCACTGCTCCCCCGGGGTTCTTTTTAGCAGATTAAGTGTGGATTTAGGTTTATTAGGATCCCCATTAGCAGCAGCAGCTACTCTTCTCGTCTCGTTCATCAAACATTTGTCCTTCACTTTCTTCACATTCTCCCCCTCTCCTTTTTCCCTCTCATTTCTTTCCTGTCACACCATGGCCTGACCCCTCCTCCTCCATTTCTTTTTGCTCCACTCCTCTGCTTTGTCTTTGGTCTATCCCCTCCCTGTCCTCTGTTGATCAGCTCTGTTTCTCTCCATCAGACTCAGTCAGTGATGGGGATCTTCATTGATCTCTCAGTGAAGATGAATACTCATGCCTAACATAGTTGGATTGGTGATTGGTTGTGTGTGTGTGTACTCACAGCAGGCCGCAGCTCTGCCTGGTCTCAGCTGTTATAATGAGGCGTGTAGAGGCCAGCAGCTGGGGGCTGGGGCTGGGCTGTAACACAACAGAGGGAAATAGCCTGGCCTCCCAACACTGCATATGGTGGCCAGGAGGGGAGACAGCTAATGGACAACATACACACACTGGTCGTGTGTGTGTGTGTGTGTGTGTGTGTGTGTGTGTGTGTGTGTGTGTGTGTGTGTGTGTGTGTGTGTGTCTGTGTGTCTGTGTGAGTGAGTGAGTGAGTGAGTGAGTGAGTGAGTGAGTGAGTGAGTGAGTGAGTGAGTGAGTGAGTGAGTGAGTGAGTGAGTGAGTGAGTGAGTGAGTGAGTGAGTGAGTGAAGAGTGAGTGAGTGAGAGAAAAATGTCCTCCTATGTCAGGGTTCTTCAATTCCGGTCCTGGAGGGCCGAAACACCTCTGTTTTTTTTTTGTACTTGGTAGTTAATTGCACTCACCTGGTGTCCCATGTCTGAATTAGCCCCTGATTAGAAGGAGAGGGTGAAAAACAGAGGTGTCTCGGCCCTCCAGGACCGGAATTGAAGAACCCTGTCCTATGTGATACCTATATCCCCCCACTAGAATCCCCATACTTTAATGAAGACAGCTTCTCCATCCTAGAGGGGGAGATCAATCATGTCCAGGCCCAGGTGATCTGGTCTGTGGTGACCTAAATGCCAGAACTGGACAAGAACCTGATACCCTCAGTACACAGGGGGACAAACACCTACCTGGAGGTGACAGCATTCTCTCACCCATATTCTCCCCTAGACACAACTACGACAACATCACAAACAAAAATGGGTCACAACTCCTGCAGCTCTGTCGCACGCTGGGTATGTACATAGTCAATGGTAGGCTTCGAGGGGACTCCAACGGTAGGTACACCTATAGCTAATTTCTACTCAGTATTAGTCTCTCAGAACGGTCACAGTCAGCCCACTGACACCCATATCAGATCACAGAAAAATCACAACTACTTGAACGGAGCAATAATCAACCATGAGGCATCGAAGCCAAACAAACAGCATACTATTAAGAAATGCTATAGATAGAAGGAGGGTAGTGTAGAAACCTACCAAAAGTGAAGGTGTAAACTTAGCAGTAGGAAGCCTGAACAATATATTTGACCTATAAGCTAACATATACAATTTAAATTCCAGCAGAAACCCTAAGAAAACAATGAGAAATGGTTTGATGAAGAATGTAAAAACCTAAGAAAGAAATTGAGAAACTTATCCAACCAAAAACACAGAGAACCAGAAAACCTTAACTTGCACCTTCACTATGTTGAAACATTAAAACAATACAGAAATACACTAAGAAAAAAGAAGGAACAGCATGACAGAAAACAGCTTATTGTGAATGAAGAATCAATAGAATCAAATCACTTCTGAGAATATTGGAACACTCTAAACAAACAACAACACGAAGAGCTATCTATCCAAAATGGAGATGTATGGATAAACCACTTCTCCAACCTTTTCGGCCATATTACAAAAGAACCAAGAGCAAAAACATATACATGATAATTTACAAAACTTAGAATCAGCTATTAAAGACTACCAGAACCCACTGGATTCTCCAATTACATTGGATGAGCTACAGGACTCAGCTATTAAAGACTACCAGAACCCACTGGATTCTCCAATTACATTGGATGAGCTACAGGACAAAATACAAACCCCCCAACCCAAAAAGGCCTGTGGTGTTGATGGTATACTAAACGAAATGATAAAATATACAGACCACAAATTCAAATAGGCTATTCAAAAACTCATCAACATTACCCTCAGCTCTGGCATCTTCCTAATATTTGGAACCAAGGCCTGATCACCACAATCCACAAAAGTGGAGACAAATTTGACCCCAATAATTATCGTGGAATATGAGAGCAGCAATCTCTGAAAAATCCTCTGCAGTACCATCAACAGCAGACTCCAACATTTCCTCAGTGAAAACAATGTCCTGAGCAAATGTAAAATTTTCTTCTTACCAAAATACCCTACGACAGACCACGTATACACCCTGCACATCCCTATTGATAAACAAACAAAACAAAACAAAAGCAAAGTCTTCTCATGCTTTGTTAATTTCAAAAAAGCTTTTGACTCAATTTGACATGAGGGTCTGCTATACAAATTGATGGAAAGCGGTGTTGGGGAGGAGAGCATATGACATTATTAAATCAATGTACACAAACAACAAGTGATAATTAATAGTGACAACAGTTAAAATTGGCAATAAACAAACAGATTTCTTTCCTCAGGGCCGTGGGATGAGACAGGGATGCAGCTTGAGCCGCACCCTCTTCAACATATATATATAAATTAATTGGCACGGGCACTAGAACAGTCTGCAGCACCCGGCCTCACCCTATTGGACTCAGAAATCAAATGTCTACTGTTTGCAGATGATCTGGTGCTTCTGTCCCCAACCAAGGAGGGCCTACAGCAGCATCTAGATCTTCTGCACAGATCCTGTCAGACTTGGGCCCTGACAGTAAATCTCAGTAAGACAAAAATAATGGTATTCGGAAAAAGGTCCAGTAGCCAAGACAACAAATACAAATTCTACTTTTTTATTTTACCTTTATTTAACTAGGCAAGACAGTTAAGAACAAATTCTTAATTACAATGACGGCCTACACCGGCCAAACACGGACGACGCTGTGCCAATTGTGCTCCGCCCTATGGTAATCACGGCCGGTTGTGATACAGCCTGAAATCGAACCAGGGGGTCTGTAGTGACACCTCAAGCACTGAGATGCAGTGCCTTAGACCGCTGCGCCACTCGACTGCCGTTGCCCTAGAACACACAAATAATTACACCTACCACAGGTAACTTCCACAAGGCTGTGAACAATCTAAGACACAAGGCAAGATCAAAAGGAACATAAAATTCAACATCCCAATTAGGATCTGGCAAAAAATACTTCAATCAGTTAATGAACCCATTGCCCTCTATGGTTGTGAGGTCTGGGGTCCACTCACCAACCAAGAATTCACAAAATGGGACAAACACCCAATTGAGACTCTGCATGCAGAATTCTGCAAAGATATACTCTGTGTACAGTGGCGCAGTGGCGAGTGGCGCAGTGGTCTAAGGCACTGCATCGCAGTGCTAGCTGTGCCACTAGAGATCCTGGTTCGAATCCAGGCTCTGTCGTAGCCGGCCGCGACCGGGAGACCCATGGGGCAGCGCACAATTGGCCCAGCGTCGTCCAGGGTAGGGGAGGGAATGGCCGGCAGGGGATGTAGCTCAGTTGGTAGAGCATGGCGTTTGCAATGCCAGGGTTGTGGGTTCGATTCCCACAGGGGGAAAAAAATATATAATGCATGCACTAACTGTAAGTCGCTCTGGATAAGAGCGTCTGCTAAATGACAAAAAATGTAATGTAAAATGTACAGGGCAAAACCCCAAACAATGTATGCAGAGCAGAATTAGGACTTTACCCACTAGTTATCAAAATCCAGAAACGAGCTGTTAAATTCTACAACCACCTAAAAGGTAGCAATGCCCACACATTCCACCACAAAGCCCTCACCTACAGAGAGATTAACCTAGAGTAGAGTTTACTCAGCCAGCTGGTGCTGGGGCTCTGTTCACAAACACAAACAGACCTCACAGAGCCCCAGGACAGAAACACATTTAGACCCAACCAAATTATGAGAAAGCAAAAAGATAACTGGAAGGAATCAACCAAAACTGGAAGGAATCAACCAAAAAACGGAGCAAATTGGAATGCTATCTGGCCCTAAACAGAGAGTACACAGTGGTAGAATACCTGACCACTGTGACTGACCCCAAATTAAGAAAATCCTTGACTATGTACAGACTCAGTGAGCATAGCCTTGCTATTGAGAGAGGCCACTATAGGCAGATCTGGTCCTCTGTAGCTCAGCTGGTAGAGCACGGCGCTTGTAACGCCAGGGTAGTGGGTTCGATCCCCAGGACCACCCATACACAAAAAAATGTATGCACGCATGACTGTAAATTGCTTTGGATAAAAGCGTCTGCTAAATGGCATATTATTATTAGTATTATGTACCCATTGCCCACAAAATGAGGTGGAAACTGAGCTACATTTCCTGACCTCCTGCCAAATGTATGACCACATTAGAGACACATGTTTCCCACAGATCACAAAGAATTTGATAAGAAATCAAACATTGATAAACTCCCATATCTGTTTTTTTTATTTTTTTATATTTTTTTTAGGGGGTAGATCAGCTTTAATATTTCAGATAGATTGTAACTTCCATCAATGCAATTGTCTGCATCACTTCCAATCCCCCATATGTTTTTTTCTCTCGCAATAATATATATACATACATACATACATACATACATACATACATACATACATACATACATACATACATACATACATACATACATACATACATACATACATACATACATACATACATACATACATACATACATACATACATACATATAGATATACATATATATACATACATATATATATATACATACATACACATATACATATTCACACATACACATACACATATACACATCCATACACACACACATATCCTTTTTTAAATTATATTTCCTTTCATTACTTTCCAACCCCACCACCCCTTCCCAAATTAGAGTAAACTAGTGAACAACTCCCATATCTGTTAGGCAAAATACTGCAGTGTGCAATCACAGCAGCAAGATTTGTGACCCATTGCCATGAGAAAAGGGCAACCAGTGGAGCACAAACATTGTAAATACAACCTATATATATCTGTTTATTTATTTTCCCTTTCATACTTCAACCAATAATAATAATAATAATGTAACATTTGAAATGTCTGTATTCTTTTAAAACTTTTGTGAGTGTAAGGTTCACTAATGTTTCCCTTGTTTATTTCCCTTTTGTTTATTGTCTATTTAATTTGCTTTGGCAATGTAAACATATGTTTTCCATGCCACTAAAGCCCTTTGAATTGAAACAATTTAATTTCATTGAGAGAGCGAGAGAGCAAGACATACATGCATATAAACAAACTGTAACGTGTGTTCAAAAGAACAATTCCTGACAGCAACCCATTGTCCTGTGTTGATAATGCAAGTCTTGTCGCTGCGGGGCAACTGTGGGGTTAGATTGCTGTATTGGGGTATTGATTGACGTTTGTGAGTCTGTATATACTGTATTAATGTGTGCGTGTGTGTTTGTGCAGGTCCTTGTGTATGTTTTTCTGTGTGTCCTTTCTTACATGTTAATATGTGTGTTTATTTCTTGTTACAGGAAAGTGACCTGCTGACGTTTAACATCTCGGCTCACCACTCGTGGTGGAGGGAACATGGTCCAGGGTGTGTGAGGAGAGAGATGACAGGGGTCCGCACCGTGGACAGCCAGTCCTACATCTCTGTCATGGGCTGTCTCATGGAGTACCAGTACATAGAGGTCCTACACAGTGGAACACAGATCCTCATCGCTGTGAGTAGTGGTTTTATATCTTTATACATAAACACGTCAAATCAAATCAAATGTCATTGGTCACATATACATATTTAGGAGATGTTATTGTGGGTGTAGCGAAATGCTTGTGTTCCTAGCTCCAGCAGTGCAGTAAAATCTTAACAATTCACAACAATACACAGATCTAAAAGTAAAATAATGGAATTAAGAAATATATAAATATTAGGACGAACGAACGTCGGAGTCCGGAGTATAAATACAGTGGGGGAAAAAAGTATTTAGTCAGCCACCAATTGTGCAAGTTCTCCCACTTAAAAAGATGAGAGAGGCCTGTAATTTTCATCTTAGGTACACGTCAACTATGACAGACAAATTGAGATTTTTTTTCTCCAGAAAATCACATTGTAGGATTTTTTATGAACTTATTTGCAAATTATGGTGGAAAATAAGTATTTGGTCACCTACAAACAAGCAAGATTTCTGGCTCTCACAGACCTGTAACTTCTTCATTAAGAGGCTCCTCTGTCCTCCACTCGTTACCTGTATAAAAGACACCTGTCCACAACCTCAAACAGTCACACTCCAAACTCCACTATGGCCAAGACCAAAGAGCTGTCAAAGGACACCAGAAACAAAATTGTAGACCTGCACCAGGCTGGGAAGACTGAATCTGCAATAGGTAAGCAGCTTGGTTTGAAGAAATCAACTGTGGGAGCAATTATTAGGAAATGGAAGACATACAAGACCACTGATAATCTCCCTCAATCTGGGGCTCCACGCAAGATCTCACCCCGTGGGGTCAAAATGATCACAAGAACAGTGAGCAAAAATCGCAGAACCACACGGGGGGACCTAGTGAATGACCTGTAGAGAGCTGGGACCAAAGTAACAAAGCCTACCATCAGTAACACACTACGCCGCCAGGGACTCAAATCCTGCAGTGCCAGACGTGTCCCCCTGCTTAAGCCAGTACATGTCCAGGCCCGTCTGAAGTTTGCTAGAGTGCATTTGGATGATCCAGAAGAGGATTGGGAGAATGTCATATAGTCAGATGAAACCAAAATATAACTTTTTGGTAAAAACTCAACTCGTCATGTTTGGAGGACAAAGAATGCTGAGTTGCATCCAAAAAACACCATACCTACTGTGAAGCATGGGGGTGGAAACATCATGCTTTGGGGCTGTTTTTCTGCAAAGGGACCAGGACGACTGATCCGTGTAAAGGAAAGAATGAATGGGACCATGTATCGTGAGATTTTGAGTTAAAACCTCCTTCCATCAGCAAGGGCATTGAAGATGAAACGTGGCTGGGTCTTTCAGCATGACAATGATCCCAAACACACCGCCCGGGCAACGAAGGAGTGGCTTCGTAAGAAGCATTTCAAGGTCCTGGAGTGGCCTAGCCTGTCTCCAGATCTCAACCCCATAGAAAATCTTTGGAGGGAGTTGAAAGTCTGTGTTGCCCAGCGACAGCCCCAAAACATCACTGCTCTAGAGGAGATATGCATGGAGGAATGGGCCAAAATACCAGCAACAGTGTGTGAAAACCTTGTGAAGACTTACAGAAAACGTTTGACCTGTGTCACTGCCAACAAAGGGTATATAACCAAGGATTGAGAAACTTTTGTTATTGACCAAATACTTATTTTCCACCATAATTTGCAAATATATTCATAAAAAATCCTACAATGTGAATTTCTGGATTTTTTTTCTCATTTTGTCTGTCATAGTTGACGTGTACCTATGATGAAAATTACAGGCCTCTTTCATCTTTTTAAGTGGGAGAACTTGCACAATTGGTGGCTGACTAAATACTTTTTTCCCCACTGTATATATATATATACACTACCATTCAAAAGTTTGGGGTCACTTAGAAATGTCCTTGTTTTCGAAAGAAAAGCAATTTTTTTGTCTATTAAAATAACATCAAATTGATCAGAAATACAGTGTAGACATTGTTAATGTTGTAAATGGCTATTGTAGCTGGAAACGGCTGATTATTAATGGAATATCTACATAGGCGTACAGAGGCCCATTATTAGCAACCATCAGTCCTGTGTTCCAATGGCATGTTGTGTTTGCTAATCCAAGTTTATCATTTTAAAAGGCTAATTGATCATTAGAAAACCCTTTTGCAATTATGTTAGCACAGCTGAAAACTGTTGTGCTGTTTAAAGAAGCAATAAAACTGGCCTTCTTGAGACTAGTTCAGTATCTGGAGCATCAGCAATTGTGGGTTCGATTACAGGATCAAATTGTCCAGAAACAAATAACTTTCTTCTGAAACTCGTCAGTCTATTCTTGTTCTGAGAAATGAAGGCTATTCCATGCGAGAAATTGCCAAGACACTGAAGATCTCGTACAACGCTGTGTACTACTCCCTTCACAGAACAGCGCAAACTGGCTCTAACCAGAATAGAAAGAGGAGTGGGAGGCCCCGGTGCACAACTGAGCAAGAGGACAAATACATTAGAGTATCTAGTTTGAGAAACAGACGCCTCACAGGTCCTCAACTGGCAGCTTCATTAAATAGTACCCGCAAAACACCAGTCTCAACGTCAACAGTGAAGTGGCGACTCAGGGATGGTGACCTTCTAGTCAGAGTTGCAAAGAAATAGCCATATCTCAGACTGCCCATCTTAATCTTTTCTTTTTATTGGCCAGTCTGAGATATGGCTTTTTCTTTGCAACTCTGCCTAGATGGTCAGCATCCCGGAGTTCTGGTTAGAGCCAGTTTGCGCTGTTCTGTGAAGGGAGTAGTACACTGCGTTGTACGAGATCTTCAGTTTCTTGGCAATTTCTCGCATGGAATAGCCTTCATTTCTCAGAACAAGAATAGACTGATGAGTTTCAGAAGAAGAGTGAAGAGGCGACTCTGGGATGCTGACCTTCTAGGCAGAGTTGCAAAGAAAAAGCCATATCTCAGACTGGCCAACAAAAAGAAAAGATTAAGATGGGCAAAAGAACACAGACAATGGACAGAGGAAGATTGGAAAAAAGTGTTATAGACAGACAAATCGAAGTTTGAGGTGTTCGGATCACAAAGAAGAACATTTGTGAGACGCAGACCAAATGAAAAGATGCTGAAGGAGTGCTTGATGCCATCTGTCAAGCATGGTGGAGGCAATGTGATGGTCTGGGGGTGCTTTGGTGGTGGTAAAGTGGGAGATTTGTACAGGGTAAAAGGGATCTTGAAGTAGGAAGGCTATCACTCCATTTTGCAACGCCATGCCATACCCTGTGGACGGCGTTTGATTGGAGCCAATTTCCTCCTACAACAGGACAATGACCCAAAGCACAGCTCCAAACTATGCAATAACTATTTAGGGAAGAAGCAGTCAGCTGGTATTCTGTCTATAATGGAGTGGCCAGCACAGTCACCGGATCTCAACCCTATTGAGCTGTTGTGGGAGCAGCTTGACCGTATGGTACGTAAGAAGTGCCCTTCAAGCCAATCCAACTTGTGGGAGGTGCTTCAGGAAGCATGGGGTGAAATCTCTTCAGATTACCTCAACAAATTGACAACTAGAATGCCAAAGGTCTGCAAGGCTGTAATTGCTGCAAATGGAGGATTCTTTGATGAAAGCAAAGTTTGAAGGACACAATTATTATTTCAATAAAAAATCATTATTTCTAACTTTGTCAATGACTACATTTCCTATGCATTTTGCTATATTTCCTATTCAAACTCATTTCATGTATGTTTTCATGGAAAACAAGGACATTTCTAAGTGACCCCAAACTTTTGAACGGTAGTGTATGTGATGGGATGCATAGACATTATAGACATTATGGACAATATGTGGATAGAATATTTAGTATATCTGTAGAATACGTATGATAGAATAGTATATGTACGGAAATATTTGAATAGGATGGCATTGACTAGAATACAGTACATACATATGAAATGAGTAAAACAGTATGTAAACATTATTAAAGTGACCAGTGTTTCATTATTAAAGTGACCAGTGATTCCATTTCTATGTACATAGGGCAGCAGCCTCTAAGATGCAGGGTTGAGTAACCGGGTTGTAGCCGGCTAGTGACAGTGACTAAATTCAGGGCAGGGTACTGGTTGGAGGCCGGCTTGTGATGGCTATTGAACAGTCTGATGGCCTTGAGATAGAAGCTGTTTTTCAGACTCTTGGTCCCAGCTTTGATGCACCGGTACTGACCTCGCCTTCTGGATGATAGTGGGGTGAACATGCCATGGCTCGGGTGGTTGATGTCCTTGATGATCTTTTTGGCATTCCTGTGACATCGGGTGCTGTAGGTGTCCTGGAGGGCAGGCAGTGCGCCCCCGGTGATGCGTTGGACAGACCGCACCACCCTCTGGAGAGCCCTGCGGTTGCGGGTGGTGCAGTTGCCGTATCAGGCGGCGATACAGCCCGACAGGATGCTCTCAATGGCACATCTGTAAAAGTTTGTGAGGGCCTTAGGGGCCAAGCCACATTTCTTCAGCCTCCTGAGGTTGAAGCCACACTGTCTGTGTGGGTGGACAATTTCAGATTGTCAGTGATGTATACGCCGAGGAACTTGAAGCTTTTCACTTTCTCCACTGCGGCCCCATTGATGTGGATGGGGGCGTGCTCCCTCTGCTGTCTCCTGAAGTCCATGATCAGCTCCTTCGTTTTGTTGAGGGAGAGGTTATTTTCCTGCCACCACTCCGCCAGGGCCCTCACCTCCTCCCTGTAGGCTGTCTCGTCATTGTTGGTAATCAGGCCTACTACTGTTGTGTCGTCTGCAAACTTGATGATTGAGTTGGAGGCGTGTGTGGCCATGCAGGCATAGGTGAACAGGGAGTACAGGAGGAGAATGAGCACACACCCTTGTGGGGCCCCTGTGTTGGGATCAGCATAGTGGAGGTGTTGTTTCCTACCTTCACCACCTGGGGCAGCCCGTCAGGAAGTCCAGGACCCAGTTGCATAGGGCGGCGTTCAGACCCAGCACCCCGAGCTTAATGATGAGCTTGGAGGGTACTATGGTGTTGAATGCTGAGCTGTAGTTAATTAACAGAATTCTTACATAGGTATTCCAGATGGGATAGGGCAGTGTGCAGTGTGATGGCGATTGCATCGTCTGTGGATCTATTGGGGCAGTATGCAAATTGAAGTGGGTCAAGGGTGTCAGGTAGAGGTGATATGATCCTTAATTAGCCTCTCACAGCACTTCATGATGACAGAAGTGAGTGCTACGGGGCGATAGTTATTTAGTTCAGTTACCTTTGCTTTCTTGGGTACAGGAACAATGGTGGACATCTTGAAGCAAGTGGGGACAGCAGACTGGGATAGGGAGAGATTGAATATGTCTGTAAACACTTCAGCCAGCTGGTCTTCACATGCTCTGAGGACACGGCTAGGGATGCCATCTGGGCAGGCAGCCTTGCGAGGGTTAACACGCTTAAATGTATTATTCACGTTGGCCACGGAGAATGAGAGCCCACAGTCCTCGGGAGCGACTCGCGTCGGTGGCACTTAGTTATCCTCAAAGCGTGCAAAGAAGGTGTTTAGCTTGTCCGGGAGCAAGACGTCGGTGTCTGCGACGTGGCTGGTTTTCCCTTTGTAATCCGTGATTGTCTGGAGTCCCTGCCACATACGTCTCGTGTCTGAGCCATTGAATTGCGACTCCACTTTGACTCTGTACTGACGTTTTGCCTGTTTGATTGCCTTACGGAGGGCATAACTGCACTGTTTGTATTCGACCACATTCCCAGTCACCTTACCGTGGTTAAATGCGGTGGTTTGTGCTTTCAGTATTGCGCGAATGCTGCCATCTATCCACGTTTTTTGGTTTAGGTCATTTTTAATAGTCACAGTGGGTACAATATCCCCTATACACTTCTTGATGAACTCAGTCACTGTGTCAGTGTATATGTCATTGTTATTCTCAGAGGCAACCCGGAACAAATTCATTCTGCGTGATCAAAACAATCTTGAAGCATGTATTCCGATTTGTCAGACCAGCGTTGAATAGACCTTAGTACGGGTACTTCCTGTTTGAGTTTCTGCCTATAGGAAGGGAGAAGCAGAACGGGGTCGTGATCTGATTTGCCAAAGGGAGGGCGGGGGAGGGCCTTGTAGCCATCCTGGAAGGGAGAGTAACAATGGTCGATTGATTTTTGAAGCGCTAGTACTACAGGCAATGTGTTGATAGAATTTCGGTAGCTTTTTCCTCATATTTGCTTTGTTAAGGTCCCCAGCTACAATAAATGTGGCCTCAGGATATGTGGTTTCCAGTTTGCACAAAGTCCAGTGTAGTTCCTTGAGGGCCGTCGTGGTATTGGCTTGAGGGGGAATATACACGGCTGTGACTATAACTGAAGATAATTCTCTTGGGAGGTAATACGGTCGGCATTTGATTGTGAGGTATTCTAGGTTGGGTGAACAAAAGGACTTGAGTTCCTGTACGTTATCACAATCACACCATGAGTAATTAATCATGAAACATACACCACCGCCATTTTCCTTCCCGGAGAGTTCTTTATTCCTGTCTGCGCGATGTACTGAGAACCCAGTTGGCTGTATGGACGGGGACAGTATATCCGGAGAGAGCCATTGTTCCGTGAACCAGAGTATAATTATCATTCGCACGATTGACAGTGATGATGGCCTATTTAGAAATTAGGTAGGCCTATGCTTAACTGGGTGTTTGAGGGTATTAAAAATAGAAAAACGTATTGAGACTATATGTATGGGCATAGGCAGACGTTGCAAATGGAGGATGCATTTTATGCATAGGCCTATTCTACAGTGGTATTCAATAGCCTAAATCTGTCAGTACAAACTTTGATTCAGAAATTATGACAACTTTTTATTTATTTTTTATATGCGCTTCCTCACCTAAAAAAATAGCACCACACACACACACACACACACACATAATTTGCCCTCCGATTACCCTCAATCTCCCAACTTTCAGTGAATGGAACTGAAAGAAACATTTGGAAAGGTTGACTACAACAGAAACCTACTCTTCCTGCTTTATTTTATGACCGAAACTCTGTCTAATCCTTATTTATCTAATGCTGGATCCCAGGCCCTGACTCTACCATCACCCGAATCCCCTCGCACTATATACTGAGATGGTATCTCAACACTGTGGTAACAGCTCTCTCTTTCCTATATTGTTAAAGAGGAGGGAAGTAAGAGATAGAAGCGGGTGTCCCTTTGTCTTTGTGTGGACTGCACAAGGTCACCCTGGAAAGCCCATTAAATATTTAGGCTGGGAGGAGAATGGTTAATTATGATGAGAAATGAGAAGAGAGTTCTGTCCAATACTGGGGGCAGTGAGTGCTGTTGTCTCCCCAGTTATATTCTTCATGTTTGATGTGACTGGGGGAGGTGAAGAGTGGAGGATATAGGCTACTGTACAGAAAGAAGGTGTACACTTTATCTCTCTCTCTCGCTCTCTCGCTCTCTCTGGGGTTCTTATAGATGATCAATAAATCCAATCTCGACTGATTGTCCTGTCATTGCCAGTCAGCACACAATTGTTGTTCATCACCACAGGCTCCCTCACCTCTATCCCCCTGTCCTCCACTCCTGAGCATCTCCTCTCTTTCTCTTCTTCTCTATTTCTCTACTCCTGTTGTCCTCCTGCTGTCTTCATACATCATCTGTTACATAAAAAATGAATATGAGAAGGTGACTCTCCTCCAGAGATGGGAGAGAAAATGTCAGGGTAGGTAGGAGATAGAGAGGGAGGGCAGAAGAGATGGAAAAAGCAAGAGAGGGAAAAGGGAGGGACAAAAATGTCACTCTCTGGAATGTGAGGGAACATGTAGAATAGGGTAGGATTTTGGGTGTGTGTACTAGTGATGTGTGGGTTGAATCACAGTAGCAGTGCATGGGTAAAATCACTGGGGAAGCCAAGCTAGGAAAAAAATGTGTTGTGAAGTCCACAAAGCATATTGCATGTCAAGCAAGTTAATGTTTCTGACATTTTCGGACTACTGAACAACTATTGGTTTAGAACCACAGAGTGTTACCGCGAGTCGCAAAGAAAACAGGAGCTGCCTCCACTATTCCAGCACCATTTCAACATCATCAAATCACCTCTGCTTAGTCTAATACAGTGACAACTAAAAGACACAAAAACCAATTTAGTCCAATCAAAGTAAGCTAAATATGATGTGGCTGTCCATGGTTCTGATTTCTGTGTGTGTGTGCGTGCGTGCGTTCGTGCAAGTAGAAAAACATGTTGACAAAACGGTCTATGACTATGTCATACAGTACACACTTGAATTTTATGTTGCCCTAGGCTACTTGGCTAAAATGCTTGGTTGCTAGCCTAACTTCCTTTCATGGGCAACGTTAGCTAGTTAACATTAGCCTTCTACATCTAGCTACATATTGAACTTCCATCCTTTCAGGCCAGGGGCACAATGTATGAATGCATGGTTGTTGGATCAGAATCTGCGTTATAATCATTGGCCAGTACGGAGAATTAAGTAAAACCAGAAGTCCAAATCCATATCTCCATCCATGGCTAATTTAGGAAAGGGACAATTTTAGCTAGCTAGCTAGCCACCAGAGGACAACAACACAACGAGATGGAACAATTCAAGTTGTTTCTGTCAATGAAGTATGCTCTCGATATGATGTGATAGGAGTGAAGCCAAATCCAAACTGGCTTCCCTTGACAATTTTTTTTAATGCTCCAGGACCATTCAAAGTTGAGCTCACTCAGTTTAGCTCAACGCTGATTGTATATTATTTTGTAATTTTTTTATCAAGGGAAGCCAAATGCTCGCTGGCTTCCCTTACATTCAATGCTACGGGCAGCAACAATGTCATACTCTTTTTGACCAAACAGCATCAGATAGATGGCCTACACATACAGAGACAGAGGGGCATTGTTTCGCTTGCTCGGATGCTTTCTCCGGTGAGATACATTCAGCCTCTTGCAAATTGAAGGAAAAATATGAAACACAGAGAGACAAACGATTGTTCCTTTTTTTCTTTATAATTGTTTGGGGGAAGCCTGGCTTGGCATCCATGAATACACGCCACTGTTGAATCATAACCCGCAGTCCCATGGTTATATCCACAGGGCGGGCGGGTTTAGGGTCATTAAATATTGTGTCGATGAAGGGTTGGTGGGTGGCAGGTAGGGCTGTTACGGTGACCTTATTAAGCACATTCCTTCTCTTTTCAACAGGAGAATAGTTTACATGGCTGGCATGAAAATGAACCATGGGAAAAGTGTCTTCCATTCGCTATTTAAGTGCATAGATGACATGTATTTATTTCCCCTGCCCATGTTTCGAGACAATTCTATTCCAAATTCCATTCTAAATCAAAACACATTTCACACATACTGTATATTATTTAGTATATGTAAAGAAAATATTAAATAAAGAATAGTCTGTTGGGTGACAATATTAGCCTATCACTTGTGAATGATGCCCAGCTTAAGGCAAGAAACAGCACATGCCTTTTTTTTGTGACTTTTTCTAATCATAGTCGCACACCTCATGTAGCCTAACCCATAGGCCTATATGTTTTGATAAGGTTTGGATCACAACAAAAGTGGCCAAATAACTTCTTAAAATTGAACACATTAATCCGCTTTACAATGGGTGTAGAGCCTAACTGGCATACATATGCAGGGCGCGAGTTTCAAGCTTGGGGAAGATAATTTTCACCAAAGAAATGCACCTTTATAATAAAAACAATACATGCATAATCACATTTGCGGTCACTTTTGAGAATGGGGTTTTCCTGCTAATGGCACATTCGCGCTTATACCCACAGCTATGTTTCAAATATTTATTTCTCACACAGAATAGGTCAACTTTTGTACTATGGGGGATAGTAGATTGACATAGGCTAGTGCTTTTGCTGTTAGTTAGGCCTACTCATCTTGTTGGCTGACGAAAAGTACATGTGGACAGTTTTTCCAATATCTTTATGCACCTTGGAATTGGATTAGGACGCGCGCAATTGCATCCCCGATGTGTCTGTCTTCACTTGTAGCCTGTGAGAAAGAGCCCATCTGAGGGAGCACGCAACCAGGAGAAGGGAATTATAATAATTATATTCAGCCCAAGGGCACAACGGCCACTGGCTGAAAAGGGCATGGATTTTTTTGATTTTTTAGGGGGCATTATGGCCACACAAAGGGGATGAAATTGAGCTCAAGTGCATCCTATTTCCATTGATCATCCTTGAGTCCACCTGTGGTAAATTCAATTGATTGGACATGATTTGGAAAGTCACACCTGTCTATATAAGGTCCTACAGTTGACAGTGCATGTCAGAGCAAAAACCAAGCCATGAGGTCGAAGGAATTGTCCGTAGAGCTCCGAGATAGGATTGTGTCGAGGCACAGATCTGGGGAAGGGTACCAAAATATTTCTGCAGCATTGAAGGTCCCCAAGAACACAGTGGCCTCCATCATTCTTAAATGGAAGAAGTTTGGAACCACCAAGACTCTTCCTAGAGCTGGCCGCCCGGCCAAACTGAGCAATCGGGGAGAAGGGCCTTGGTCAGGGAGGTGACCAAGAACCCGATGGTCACTCTGACAGAGCTTCAGAGTTCCTCTGTGGAGATGGGAGAACCGTCCAGAAGGACAACCATCTCTGCAACACTCCACCAATCAGGCCTTTATGGTAGAGTGGCCAGACGGAAGCCACTCCTCAGTAAATGGCACATGACAGCCCGCTTTGGATTTTGCCAAAAAGCACCAAAAGGATTCTCAGACCATGAGAAACAAGATTATCTGGTCTGATGAAACCAAGATTGAACTATTTGGCCTGAATGCCAAGCGTCACGTCTGGAGGAAACCTGGCACCATCCCTACGGTGAAGCATGGTGCTGTGGGGATGTTTTTCAGCGGCAGGGACTGGGAGACTAGTCAGGAACGAGAGAAAGATGAATGGAGCAAAGTACAGAGAGATCAATGATGAAAACCTGCTCCAGGGAGCTCAGGATCTTAGACTGGGGCGACGGTTCACCTTCCAACAGGACAATGACCCTAAGCACACAGCCAAGATAACACAGGAGTGGCTTCGGGACAAGTCTCTGAATGTCCTTGAGTGGCCCAGCCAGAGCTCGTACTTGAACCCGATCGAACATCTCTGGAGATACCTGAAAATATCCCATCCAACCTGACAGAGCTTGAGAAGATCTGTAGAGAAGAATGGGAGAAACTCCCCAAATACAGGTGTGCCAAGCTTGTAGCGTCATACCCAAGAAGACTCAAGGCTGTAATCGCTGCGAAAAGGTGCTTCAACAAAGTACTGAGTAAAGGGTCTGAATACTTATGTTGATGTGATATCTCAGTGTTTTATGTTTTATAAATTTGCAAAAAAATCTAAAAACCTGTTTTTACTTTGTCATTATGGGGTATTGTGTGTAGATTGATTAGGGAAAAAAAACTATTTAATCCATTTTAGAATAAGGCTGTAACGTAACAAAACGTTGAAAAAGTCAAGGGGTCTGAATACATTCCTAATGCACTGTAAATAACACTAAATCAAGTATATAGGAGTACCTGTTTCTTTGTTAACTGCTCAACACAGAATAGCCACATGTGCGCACTCCCTCAAATAATTTGGAGAAAATATCCTTTCTATTTTATTCAGCTATGTTCAATTGTATTCTTCATACTATAAAATAATATAAAATAATGCCATGGAATTTTAAGCAAATGTTGTTTGCTAAATGAAGTAGTGTAGCCCACAGCCATATGGCATAGCCAGATCAGGGCCTAACATAAGGACAACTCAGAGTATGCTATTCTGTTCTTCTGAAATAGACTACATTTTCTTCATATCATGTTTCTTTAGACCTGTCTAAAATAAATAATGGTGTAGGCTATATTACATGGATTTATTAGACTTTTTTAAATGTAGATGTTCCAAAGGTCTGCATCAGTGGCTTGTAGGCTATGCGTGGACGCCAGGAGATGCTAAATGTGTTTATGTTAATTAATGGTAAATTACCGTGAGACCGGCAGTTTTTTGCTTGACTATAACCGGATGACAAAATGTCATGACCGCCACAGCCCTAGTGGCGGGCAGGTTAAATAAAGAGAAAACAATACTTTAAAAATCCCTAAATGTATTTCTTGTGCAATTGATATTTGTAGGCTGGGCGGCAGGTAGCTTAGTGGTTAAGAGTGTTGTGCCAGTAATTGAAAGGTCGCTGGTTCTAATCCCCAAGCCGACTAGGTGAAAAATCTGTCGATGTGCCCTTGAGCAAGGCACTTAACCCTAATTGCTCCTGTAAGTCGCTCTGGATAAGAGTGTCTGCTAAATGACTAAAATGTAAATGTAGGCTACATTGAGGTTTTTCTTTCATCATTTAGGCTATCTGGCATTAATGCGTAAGCCAAAGCTTTATGGCCTAACTGAATGCTCACCAAATGACCTGCACGCCAATCGCCAAATACTTTTGGGAACGGGCAAAAAAGTTATCGCCGATCCACAGAGGCAAAAATGACAATGTTGGTGTTC